ATTCAGTAGTAACAGCAGAAGGTAGGACTGAGGTGAAGAGCTGAACATAGGGAGTGTGCCCCCAAACTCTGGGTCCCCAGAATACTTCCTCACCCACATCGCTTCCAGAAAGACAAGAAAATTTCTTATCTCCCTCTGTAGGGCACTGGAATAGTTTTCTCTGAAGAAACTGAACAGCCCTAAAGAAATAAAACCTCAGAAACTGATAGTTGGGGATCCCCCAAAGAAAAAAGCCAACAGCTTCCCAATCACCATGTGATGAAGCCAACTCATAATGCCTCCATTTAACTTTCTATTGCCTCACTCTTAAATATAAATGGTTCACATTTAAGCATGGGCGACCCATCAGAAATTTTATAGCTTCCATATGGAAAGACAACAGAAGAATAAAGGGGTTGGCAATCTAATGGTCTGTGCACGACCTGTTTTTTAAGTCCCGAAAGCTAAGGATGGCTTTTACATTACAACAGAGAACATAGATGTTCCACAAAGCCTAAAATATTAATGATCTGATCTTTTCATGAAAGTGTGCCAAATCTTATACTAGAAGATTATGGAGAAATGCCTTCGAATTTCTGAGGGAAAATAATTCATAAAGTAGAATTTTTATAGCTAGCCCAACTATCAGCTGCTCAGCTAGGACTCAAATCTTAAGTCCCTGCATTCTTTCCAAAGAAGCCACTGATATATGTACATTACCAGCAAGGGAGAATATCAAGAAAGAGAAAAATGTAAGATGAGGAAATTGTGAAACCGACAGAAAACGGGAAGGAAAGACTCAGGCAACAGGTGAACAGCAGGCCCAGAGAGCCTTCCAACAGGAGACCCAGACCTAACAGGAGGACAGAAGAGTCGGGAGGGAAAGTGAGAAGCAGGAAACTGTCTGATGACTTTGGTGAAAAGGCAGAAAACGGTACACAGATGCTGCCCTAGATGCATGAAAAACTAAAATTTTAGATAATTAAAGATGTTATTATTAACTCCAGGGCAACAAAATATTTTTTGACCAAAGAAATGTAATCCAGGTTTATTATGCAGCTCAGCAAAAAATACTTAAGAAGCCATAATTACACGAACACAGACTATTTATTGAACCCTAATTATGATATTACTGCACTGAAAGTTTGGGGGAGGAATTATGTAGATGGGTCCAAGAAAGAAAGGGGGATACAGAGAGCTAAATCTTCACGTGAAGAAAGAAGACCATGAAGACATCAGATCCTTTGTATTGATCATATCCTTCAGGTAAAATTCACAGAACTCTGGGTCAACAGCTAGTAAGATTTTTTGATTACATGCTCTCAAAATATTACCATATTCTGATTATACGAAAGGTCCTTTTCTAAAAAAATCAAGAATAAGTTATTTCTAAGCCATCAAGTTGGAAGAACAAAGAAACACAAACTTAAAGAAATGAAGTTAGAAAAATTATCTTTCTGAATTTACCCAGGTTTATTTGTTCCAGAATATCACAAAATCCTCTATAGTAGAGAACTTTGAATACATTCATGTTGTACCCTGAAATCAAAACTACTGTTACAATGATTTTTTTTAATTCTTCCAAAGGTGTTCTATTTAAATACACATTTCACTATGTTCTATAAAAAGCACCGTTATTGAGAGAAAAATAAAAAGCAGAATGTATTGTTAAATAATATATATGTTACCAATAGAAACATATAACACTTCTTACTAAATGAATGCCTTATATGTCTGTACTACTAAACAGCAGTTATTTAGGAATAAGTAAATTAAAAGTTTCCAATCCCCCTTCTTATCCCCTACCAATTTCCTACTGTGAGTTCTTTATTATGACAGTCATTATTACTATCGAATTTGCTAGAAACATTCTTTTTTTTTTTTTTTTTTTGAGACAGAGCCTCAAGCTGTCCCCCTGGGTAGAGTGCCGTGGCATTACAGCTCACAGCAACCTCCAACTCCCGGGCTCAAGCGAGTCTCCTGCCTCCGCCCCCCAAGTAGCTGGGACCACAGGCGCCCGCCACAACGCCCGGCCATTTTTTGGTTGCAGCCGTCATCGTTGTTTTGGCGGGTCTGGGCTGGGGATTCAAACCCGCCACCTTAGGTGTACGTGGCTGGCGCCCTAGCCGGTTGAGCTATAGGCGCCGAGCCGCTAGAAACATTCTTAATCAGTATTTCACCTTTTAAAAAAAGTTACAAAATTTTATTTTATAAAATCTATCCAGACGGCGCCTGGATAGTGGGCCACACTGGCGCCTGTGGCTCAAAGGAATAGGGTGCTGGCCTCATATGTTGGAGGTAGCAGGTTCAAACCTGGCCCCAGCCAAAAACTGCCAAAAAACAAAACAACAAAAAACTATCCAACCTTTTACCCTGAGATTTGAAACACACTTTTACTTTAATTATCTAAAATTTTGTTTTGCAGGTCTTATTTTCATGTCTGAAATTCATTTTGATATATGGCATAATATAAAAAGCTAGCTTAATTTTGCCCCTTAAAGAGTCTATTTTTAAAGACCAATTTTTCACACAATCCCTCTTCTGTCATATTAAATTCTCATATGCAATAGGAAGGCTATTTTTCTGGCTAGATTATTTTATTAATCTGTCAATTCTTGTGCCAGAATTACATGCCTAATTGCTGGTTTTTTTTTTTTGTTTTTTTTTTGAGACAGAGTCTCAAGCTGTAGTCCTGAGTTCTGGGTAGAGTGTCGTGGCATCATAGCTCACAGCAACCTCAAACTCTTGGGCTTAAGGGATTCTCTTGCCTCAGCCTCCCAAGTAGCTGGGACTCCAGGCAACTGCCACGATGCCTATTTTTTGGTTGCAGCTGTCACTGTTTTTTAACAGGCCCAGGCTGGGTTCGAACCCACCAGTCTGGGTGTATGTGGCTGGTGCCCTACCCACTGAGCTACAGGCACCACCCCTAATTGCTGTTTTTATAATATGCTTCATATAACATTTTAATTTTTGAAGTAAATAATTCTGCTTTATTATTCATATTTCTCATAATTTTCTTTGATAATTTTGTACAATTTCAAGAAAACAATCCCATTTGGTTTTATTTGGATTTTGTTTTTGATTGGTATTACACTAAAATCCTATTATTTTTGCATGTTTTCTTTTTCTTTTTTTTTTTTTTTTCTTTGAGACAGAGTCTCACTTTGTTGCCCTCAGTAGAGTGCCATGGGGTCACAGTTCACAGCAACCTCCAGCCTCCCAAGTAGCTGGGACTAAAGGAGCTTGCCACAACACCTGGCTATTTTTTTTTGTTGTTGTTGCATTTTGGCAGGGGCCAGTGCCCTACTCACTGAGCCATAGGCGCTGCCCTATTTTTGCCTATTTTCAAGAAAAGTCTTATTTAAATTTGGATTGTAACTGCATTAAAACTATGAAATAATTAAGACAGCATTTTTATAATATTTATTGCCAACCCAAGACTTCATATATCCTTTTAATTATTCAAAGCTTCTTTTATGTACGTTAGTAAGTTTATTCACACATATCATTGCTAGAATTCACATCTACTCAACATTTACTGTTACAATTGTGAACAGAATCTTATAATCTAACTGGGTTACAGCATTATATGAGCATGGCATCAATCCTGTATTATACCCACTTGTGGAACTCTTATAGGCTCTAGTTGTTTATTAACTTAGTGTCTGAGCATTTTAACAAGCTTGTACTTAACACAGAAATTATAACTCCTGTTTCTCAACATGTATTTGACTTTTTCTAATGTCTTTAACTTGTAAAAGAATATTAAACATAGTGGTAAAACAACTTATTTTAGACCTCTTTTTAATAGGAAGACTATTTCACCTGTATGAAAAATGTTGACTAATTACCTGAAATTTTAGAAAATTCTAAAAATTTTTTCTATCTTAGTAGTCTTTTTTTTTTTATCTTAGTAGTCTTAAGTGCTCTTTCAATCAGCAATCAGTCCCTCCCTCCCTCCCTTGAGACCAGCTAGAGTACAGTGACATCATCGTAGCTCACTGCAACTTCAAACTCCTGGCTCAAGTGATCTGCCTGCCTCAGTCTCCCGAGTAGCTGGAACTACAAGTGTGTACTATCACACTCAGCTTAATTTTTACATTTTTGTAGAGACAGGGTTTCGCTCTTGCTCAGGCTGGTCTTGAACTCCTGAACTGAAGTGATCCTGCCACCTCAGCCTCCCAGAGTTTACAGGCAAGAATCTCCACAGCTAACCAGCAACCAGTACTGAATTCAATCACCATTTTGCACATGTAAGCATTTTTTTTCCCAAAGCAGTCCAGATATTATATAGTATATATATATATATATAAATTGAATTATCCAATATAGCTCAGAAATCCCTCTTTGGGTACGGTGGACTGTTAATACACTGGTGAATCCTATTAACTAAAATTAAGAATTTCAGGAGGGGGTGATCTGTATTTGTAAGTGAAAGAATGAGGTTGGTAATTTTATTCACTGTGTATTTCTGTTAGATTTTGGTAAGCTTGGACCACATTTTCATGATGGAATGAACAGCCAACTTTCTCCAGTTCTGTTTCATAACAACTGTCTTAATATCTTCTGAATTTGTGCAACTAATTAGCAACAAACACATTTTAGCCAGAAACCTTTGGGGGGATTGAGGTATGATAATGCTTTGATAACTCTCAATTCTTATTCAGGTATTGACATAGTCACATTCCTATTTGTCAATTTTTATCATTTGCTGCTCTAAAATACACATGCTGTCAGCTAGAAAGGTAGAATTCTGCCTAGAAAAAAAGAAATGGGTTGTGGCTGAGTGCTTAGGCAGGGCTTTTAAGAGCTTTATCAAATGAATTTTGTCATTTTTCTTCTGAGCATTCAGGCAGCATTTCTGCTTACATTTTAGTTCTTGGCTGTATTCTAAATAGGTTGTCTATCACAGAAACAATCTCATATAATTCTATAATTCAAATTATGTTCTCAAGTTACATTAGACTCCTTAGTAATTTTATCAGTAACTCACACATGAAATGTACAGACCAACAACTCACTTTATTTACTTCGGCAATTTCTCGCCTCTCTTCACTGGCAAAACGGGGCGGACCAGCCCGGTCATCATTTTTGGAGCCATCTTCTTCCACATATGGAATAAGTTGCTGGGAGTGATGAACAAAAGTTAGAAGTCAAAAATGTGACCCAAGTTTTCTTACTACACTGGCATAAAGAATAAATCACATTATAGTCCATTTTTACACTTTTATGAGTATAAAATAAATTTCTATTTGATGGCCTAAAACAAGAACTTTAGTAGTTTCTTTTGCAAAACGGTCATAGCCTTGGTTGTCATGTGTAATTAAAAAGCATCCCATTCATTCAATCAGTAAACATTTAATTGCCAGGCACTATGTAAGAATGCAAAAATGCCAAATAAGATGTGATTCCTGCCCTTACGAGATTTATAGCATATGGAGATACATACAACAGGTTTTTCCTTCATCTACACAAGAATGGAACTTCAAGATGTACGTTATATAAAGGTCATTAGCTTGTAATCTAAAACTTCAGTGTCTATGTGAATTTCTACATGTCTTAAGTTCTTTTAGGCATGAGGATTATTTTTTGTAGGAGAAACAAAATTTACATAGGAATAAAGAGAGGATTAAAATTAAATATGTATGATGTGATGAAATTTCCTGGATGAAGCCCCTTGCACATGCAATAGACTTCAGGACTCATCTAGTCTCTACCATCACATTACCGATGCAGGAATAAGCCAAAAGTGAATGGTAACAGTAGGAGGAGTCATCTGGCCAAACTTCTTTGAGTTCTTTGGACAAATAAATATAAACTTATCCACATCTACATTCTACTTTTCTTCCTTTCCTTTCTCCTAATAACAGAAGATTATTAGTAGATTACTGTCCTCCCTCCCGAAGATGCTCAGTCTCCACGCCTGTTCTGATTACTCAGCCTTCCTGTCTTCCATCATTTACCCCTTTCTCCAAGGTCCCCCTATGTTTTCTTCCTTTATTATCTAAACATGCTCTGGTCTCTTTTATTTAGCGGGCAAAAATTCCCCAAACTCTTGATTCCACCCCTCCTCTCATCCACTGCTTTTCTCTCTTGTTTTTAATCTAAGCTTCTTGAAAGACTGATATCTATTTGTAAGCTCTAGCTCCTCACTTCCTCTTCTATCTTCATCCCACTTTCATCTGATTTCATGCTGCCACCATGTCACTGAACCTCTTCTCAAATATGCCAATGACTTTTATCTAGCAAAGTGTACTAAACAGTTTTCATTCCTTATTTTGACTCTCTGCAGCACCTGACAATATCGACCATGTTTCTGATCTTTTTTCCACACCTTTGGTCTCTTGTTTCCAGATTCTTTTGCAATTTACTCTTTATTTATTTCCTACATGCTGACCACTCAAAAGGGAAGCATTGGTGGCATGAAATTGTTCTTCACATGCAGTAAGAGAAATCTATGTATCCCAGCTAATTTTGGTGGGAGACATATAACTTATCAACAGGGAAAAGGTACCTATACAAATATTTACTTAATTAATAAATCTATGACCCAAGATTAAACTTAGAGAATATATTTTTAAAATATGGTAATCCCACTAGGTTAAACATTAAATATAATAACGATGAAAAATTTTTTATCTGTAAAGTACTTTCATGAAAACCACTTTATAGGTATTTCATGATGTTATTAAAACTCTGTGCACTGATTTAATTAAAAGGAAACACTGACAGCAATGATAAAAATTGCCTCAGAACACCCATTCTCAACAATAACAAATGTATGATCAGCTTAGATGTCAAAATCTACAGGAAATTATTAACATGAAAATATAGTAGTAATTCTATGTTTATGACACATTTTCATCTTTTCTGGTCAAAAGTAAAACCAGCATGATTCAACATCTGAAATATTGCTAAAACGGGAGAAAGAAGGTGGAAAAATTACACATGTCTTAAAACTATCTTATATCTTCTATTCACCCTCCCTCTATCACTAAAACTCACCTCTACTGGAATGGGATCCATTCCTGCACAATTTTCAATGCACTTGTCATAGACCAATCTCAGCTTCCTGAAGAGAATAGAAAGTTGGCGAAGATGATCCTGTAGCTTTGTTAACCGGTCTTGATATGTTCCAGAATGGTAAGTGACACCATTTGGCAGCTTCCCAGGCACACAATAAAAATAAAAAATAATGTAAATCAAGATTCTCTATAAGTAAAGCGAACAAACAGAAAAATTTTTACACACTGCATAAAAGCAATTGTTCTTCACATGGAATCAAGTGCAAGTCTAAGAACTGAAGAGTAAGATCTGCCCTTCTATCTATTAGCGACTTGGCATACCGTTCCACTGCTGTAAAACAGCCATAGAACATCTTCGTCATAAGCCTTCTGGCCAGCGAAAATAAATTTCTCTTTTAATTTTTAAAGTATAACTTTAAAAACAATGTACAATTTTAATATTATTAACTATTACATGAATGCAGTGAGCTGCTGAGCTTAACCAAGAAGTTAAAAAATAAAACAGAGCTTAAAAAAAAAAGGTGAAACCTTGATGAAGAAAATGAATGTTATTGCAAAAATATCAAAATATCTTAATTATTATAAGATAATTAAGATGCTTAAGGCACACATTAAAATACAAAACTGTCTTGAGCTATTTTACTTAAGAATCACTAGCAGATGTACATGCAATCTGTATGTAAACATCATTAAAAAATTACTACAAGTAACTGCTATGACCATAACTCTTAGATATTTATATAGCTTTAATTCAAAAATTTCATCAAAAAAAGCCAAAAGTACATATTGATAAAATTACAAGTAAACAAAAATTATTTATTTAGAAACAGTAAATAAATATATAACTCTCGGGCATTGTTGAAACTGATGAAAAAAATCTTTCTCTCTCTGCACACATTTACAGTATTTCAGTCCCACAATTTGATCTGTGGAATCCTCCTAACATCCTAATACCTGAATCAAGAATATTTATTTTAGTTCCAAGTTTTCTAGTGTACAGGTGTTTTCATTCGTAGTGCGCCTGTGTACTTATCTTGGGGACTGGAATCAAGAGAGTTAAAGTGACGCACTCTCTGCTACCTGATATTCAAGAGCTCAGTCCAGTCTTTCTAGATCTCAGTTAACTTTCTTTTCTTTTTCTTTTTTTTCCTTTTTTTAAAAAACAGATAAGGTGGGAATGCGAGAAAAAAAGCATGATAAAATGTTTGGAGAGAAAAGAAAATAGAGCATACAATTATTAAAACCATAAACATGAAAAAAGACTGAAAAGGCCTGTACTACTATAGTAGATAAAAAGATTTATTAGGTAGATAGGGTTCAATGTTTTCTTTTTTCTCTCATTTCCAAGTTTCTTGTAAAAATTGGTTTACAAATAAAGCATATGGATCTCCTGAAATTGTCTAAAGTGAGATATTATTAGCACTTTCAGAAATTCTTAAGCACTAAAGAACTCTACAACATCTCAAAGAAATATAATTACATACCAAAGGCTGAATTAGTTAAAATATTTTAAAGGGCTAAGGCATTAAGGGTTCATCTCCCAATACAATTTAGGATTTCCCCATTGAATTTATGAACTTTCACAGACACTAATAGTCCAGAAACAAGAATAAATGGATCCCTCATTTGAGTGAAAACAAGGTGTATAATGATTAGAGAAGTACTCTGTACCTTAATTATGTTCTACCTCTATTATGGAATTTACTAAGTAGAAAATATGGGCAAAGTAGTAAACCAAGTAAAGACCAGAACTTAAGATTTCTATTACCATATTTAGTACAGCCTGCACACACAGAGTTTAGAGTATATACCACCGAATTGTTTTATGTTAGTGAGCTATTTTACCTATAAATCCCTATTAATCTATACTTAAAATTCACTAAGAAGTATGTGTCATGCAAAAAAACTCTTGATAAACACTTTTATAAAGGAAAACAAAATCCTTTTGAAATGAAAATAAGCACCCTCCTTAAATTTGCTGACTTAGTTTGGATTAGTTTGTATACAGTAAAACATAAGTTCCTTAAAGATAGGAATGATTAACGCATTCAAAAAATTGCCACAAACCTTTCATGTGTTGGGCACTGTTTTAGATGCTAGGGTAGAGCAGTGAACATGAAAGAGAAGAGGTAATAATACCTAAAATCCCTTGGTGTACTGTAGTGCGGTTCAGCTGAAAACCTCATCAATAATCACGTTCCTTGTGAAAATGGGTGAAAACACGTAAATATCACCATATCCACAGACATCAAAAAGGCATTCAAGTAAATTCAAAATCCATTTTTAAAATATATATAAAACTCAATTTTAAAAAAAATAGCCAAAGTGATAAATTTATGAGATACATTGATCTCAGTCAAAAAGTCAGCATGATTAATGTGGAAAAATGAGAAGCATTTCTCCTAAAGTCAGGAACGTGAAAAGATGCCTACTCCGACATAGTGCAAGTGAATACTGTTTTGGAGGCACTGGGCCATGCAATTAGAGAAGAAAAAGGTTGAAACATTCTTTTAAAAAGGCATAATCAACACTAATTACAAATAATATGATACAGTGCTACTAAAATTAAGAGAATTCAATAAGAAGGTAGGTACAAAATTAATAGAGTGAAAGCAATAGCTTTGCTTTCACTTATAACAAACAAAAAAATAGGACAAGACGACCCCAGTTACAATAGAGACAAAAAAAGATTAAATATTTAGGCATATTCTTACAAAAGTTTCAAGATAAAAATGAAAACTAAAAGTACTTTATAGAGAAACAAGAAAAGGATACTACATGTTCTTGGTTCGTAAAACTCTACATCATAATGTCAAGTCTTTCCAGGTTGACCGAACCTAATAAAAATGCTAATAGGTTTTTCCTTAGAACTAAGCAAGGTGATTCTAAAGTACGCGTCAAAAATAAACAAGTAAGAGTAGCACGGAAATTCTGAAAAATAAATGTAAACACATTCTAGAGCCTTGACAGATATAAGAAGGTTTTGCATTAATACATTCAAAGTAGAATACAACAGAACAGCATCTCAGTTAAAATCAGCATCTGAAATCAACAGAGGAGGAAAAAGAATTATTCAAACAACTCTTTGGGAAAAAGTAAGGCTAGGGCCACACTTTTAGTAGGATAGATTCTATAAGGATTAAATATAAAAACTGAAACAAGAATAAGAAATAAGAACAGAAACATCCTTGGGGGACTTTTGACGTAAACTGGGAGCGACTCTACACTTGAAAGGTTTGCCCAGGGCAGCCCCGCTGACATCAGGGACCGCACGCACTGACTAACCCAGCGCCCCCTTCCCTCCCAGAAGCATCCCGCTTGCTCCGGGCACGCGCACCTCCTCACCTGCATGTTCCTCAGCAGCTGAAAGATCTCCATGGTGCGGTACACAATGTCCTGGACCGTCTCCTGCCCAATACGGCACAGCGAGGCTGTGTTGACCTCCCGGGCGGCCTGCTGAGCCTGGGGCCCGGCGAAGGGTCCAGGCGCCATCCCCGACGCCGCCAGCGGAGGGGTAGACATGGCGCGGCTGCGGCCTCGTGCCGACAGGGGCCGAGAAGCAGGTGTCAGAGGTCAGCCCGCAATCTGGCGGCTGCTTGGACTCGGCGTGGCCAGGAGCTGGGAAGACCCGGGCTCAGGGATTTCAAAACAGCAGCCGCGACTTCCGCCTACCGTGACGTAACACGTCACCAAACGTCACAGGCATCACCCACTCCTGGGAGCCTTCCTCCGCGCGAAACCGGGTGGGATTGGACTGAAAGCCTGGGTGGGCGGGGTAGAAGGGTCAAGTAACCAATCACCAGCTGCGCTACGACCTGGGGGCGGTATGTGTGGTCGGGGGTGGGTTGGGCTTCGCAGAGTTAGTTTCTGTGATTGTCAGCCACACGTTAGAATTTCTGATGAGACCATCGTTTTCTAGTGTTAGTCTATGAGGTTTGTGATATTATTGTTCTTTTACGGCTAAGAGTAAGGCTCACAGAAGTTAAGGTCGCATACAGGTTGTAACAGGCAATCTGCAATTTGAATTTAGGAAGCAAGATTCTTGACCTTGTACTCTTCAGTGTGGCATGATATGAATTCCTTGACTTTTCTTGGTCCTTGCTCAAATGTATTTATTCGTGGGGCTTTCCTGTCCTTTTAAAGTAAAAAATTAACACTATGCACACTCCTTTCTCTGACATTACAGTTTGATATTTTATATAATTTTTGGTTTGTGTACTTTCTGACTTCCCTTCACCCTATCTACACACATACAAAATGCAAACTGTAAAAATGGAGACTATGTCTCTTTTATTCACTTATGTATTCTCAGCGCTTAGTGATTGGCACAAGTATTAATAACTACTCATTGAGTGATTGTTGAGTGACAGTATAAATGCAAGAAAAATAATACCATTTTCTCATCTGCCACTTACTTCCTCTTACTGTCTATCTCCAAGGAAGGCAAAGTCAAGAATGTACAATTGGTGATAGGCCAAAAACATTGCCTTTTTAAAAGTATCTAAGCCCCTCATTAATACGGACATTTCAGGAAATGATTACTAAAAAGTAGCATGAGAACCACCAGAGCGATTTTAAACAGTAATCTGCAGCTGTTTAGTGAACAGTTATCATTTGAGAAATATTTACTAAGCACGTACTATGTGCAGGGTACTAGGATCAAATTGGTCAAAAGCCCTGCTTTCATGGATACAGACTGAACACTAATTACTGTGATGTGTCTTAAAGCAAAAGTTCACCCTGATATAAGGGTGATAATACTTCAGGAGATTGGGAACAACCTGAGGGGAGAAAGCTGGTAATGCAAGTGGATGGGGGACAGACTACTGTACATTTGGAGTCTTTTTCTACTAAGGATCAGCAGACAAGGAAGGCCATGCAAACACCTTAAGAAGGGAGGCCTCCTACTGCTTTCAAAGACCTGAAAGAAGTGTAGTGCAAGGACAGATGTTAGGAAATAAGCCAGAAGACAGGCAACCTTGGGGAATCTTCTAAGCCATGACAAGCAGTTTAGACTTTATTCTGAGTGAATAAGTAAGCCATTGAAGAGTTTCAAAAAGAGAAATATACCAAAATATTTATTTGTGATTTCTTCTTGCTGTTGAATGAAGATTGGATGGTGGATGCATACTGTCCCTTCTTCTCTCCCAAAAGGCAATGATGATCATGATCATGATCTGTATTCAGATAAAGAGTACAGAGTGGGTAACTCTGAATAAATATTTAGTAAATATGCTCTAGAGAACATGATGTTGCTTGGATTGGGAACATGAAGGAGAGGAAGGAATAAAGAATGGCATATATTTCTGCCTTAAACAGATGGGTGAAGTTTGTGTCATTTGCAATGATAGGGAACACTGAAGAAAAAACAATTTTCAGTGGTAGAATACTTTACATTAGTTTCCTCTTGTTGCTGTAATAAATTATCACAAACTTGGTGGCTTAAAGCAACACAAATGTATTATCTTATAGTTTAGTAGTACAGAAATCTGAAATGGGTCTTGGTGAGTTAAACTTGTGTTGGCAGAGCTGTTCTTCTCCGGAGGCCAGGGAATCTGTTTCCTTGTCTTTCCCAGTTTGTAGAGGCTGCCCTATTCCTTGGCACTTGCCCTTTTCCATCCTCTTCAAAGCCACCTTTTATCATCTTTGAAGCCAACATTAGCTGGGTGAGTTTTTCTCATGGTATTATCTCTCTGGTTCTGAGTCCTCTGCCTCTCTCTTTCCCATCTAATGATCTTTTTGATTACATTGGGTCTACCCATAATAATCCAATATATATCTTTATTTTAATGTCAGCTATTTTAGAACTTAAATTCATCTGCTACCTTAATTTCCCCTTGCCAAGTAACATATTAATAAATTCTGTGTATTAGGATGTAGACATCTTTGGTGGATGATTATTCTGCCTACCACATGTCTCCATTCCAAATTGTCCCTGAATTCAGATTCACACACATAAACAGCCATCGGATATCTTGACATAGATGGCTAACTGGCAACTGAACCTTAAGTCCAAAGTCAAACTGTTAATTTCCCCAACCTTCTTCTACGACACTTTTCCCTCTTACTGACGGCACCACAGTGTGCTCAGTTGTTCATAGTGTTTTCTCTCTTTCCCACCCTACTTCCAAGCTATCAGAAAATAGAGTGGACTCTAACTTTCACAAACATCTTATATGTGACCATTTCTCATTACTTCATCTCTTTCACCCTAGTCCAAACTCTCTTTTCTTATTTAGATTGTTGGAAACAGTCAAAAATTTCTCCTTATTGTCCTTCCTTCCCTTTATTGTTGTCCCCATGCCTCTCCTTGCAATACTCATAGGGAAAGTTTTAAAACTGTAAGCCAGGTGGTGACCCTTCTGTGCCAGAGTGTCTTCCCACCATGCTCAGGATAGAATCCAAAGCTGCGTGACCTATGCACCTGCACATGTGCCGGCCTGGGCCTCTCCTGTCATCTGAGCTTCTGCAACTCCCCCCTCACTCCAGCCACCTTGCCTCCTTGCTGTTCCTCATACGCTCAGGTTCTTACTTCACTGTCATTCCTTTTGGTCTGGGAAGCTCTTCCTCAGCTACCTCTTCAGGTATCTGCTTGGAGTGATCTTCCTTGGCTACCCTATTGAAAATGGGCTGCATTAGGTTTCTGTTGCTGCTGGTATAAATTGTCTAAATTTAATGGCTTAAAGGAATAGAAACTCATTAGCCTATCATTCTATAGATCACAAGGCTAGTGCAGGGCTTACCAGCTACTAGGAAGGCATTGTCAATGCTGTGGTACTTTTTGGAGATTATGGAAGAAAATCTGTTTCCTGCTTATTCATGTTGTTGCAGAATTCTGTTCCTTGTGGATATAGAACTGACATCCCCACTTTCTCAGTGATTATAAGATGAGGGTCATTCCTGGCTGTTTCTTTGGTTCATGGTCCTTCCCTCATCTTCAAAGGTAGCCACCCAAGTTGAGTCTCACTCATGCTTTAAATCTAGTAAATCTTATGTTTACTCTAGGTTAATCTTGAGTTGGAAATGTTTAAGAGGTAACCAAGTATATATATCCAGCAAGCTTATATAATCCAGTAAGCAATCAAGTATAGACATGGTCCTCTGTGTGGTGTGTGGGTGTGTGTGTGTGTGAGAGTAAGTGGAGTGAGTGTATGAGTATAGTGGTAGTGGAATCAGACATCGTGGACTAAAATCCAAACCTGGCATTGGACACATGTCATAAGCTCAATGTAAAATATGGAAGTAACAATGGTCCCTCTCTTTGGGAGATACTGTGAATAACGTGCTTAGTCCCTAGTATATGGTCTGTATTGAATAAATGTGCACTGTGCTTCCATTCACCATGTGGAACATGAGGAGAATGTGTAAAGTGAGAAGTGACAGAGAACTTGTCACAGGACAGAGCCAGTAGAAACACTAAGGGACAGAAGGAGGAAGAGGAGCCAAGGGGGAAAAAGGACAATCAGACTGCCTGGCGCTGTGGAAGTCACAGGAAGACTAGATTGTTTAAGGAAGGAGCTTATGGTAAACAGTGTCAGGCACTGCCAAGAGACTAAGCAAAAAAATCATTTAAACAAAGGCAGCATTCTATTAAATTACAGAACAATAATCTTTAGCAGAAAATTCTTGCCTAAAGTCCCACAGACAATGAGGGAATGAAACAGACTCCTATCCAGTAGCAAATCTGCATTCTTCCTTGGCAAGAGAATATTTGGATTTTAGCAAATCATGGGGGACATTGTAAGCGCAGCCTTCTTTGAACCTTGACAAAGCCCTTTCTCTAAGTTCTGGCCAAAAGGCTGTATGTATGAATGACATGTGAGGCTAGTAGAAGTTGTTCTTAAAAAAGAGGAGGCCTCCAGTTCCGTTTTACTACTAAGTGGGGTGCAGAAATGGCTGAAGCTCACACCTATGATTTATCCTATAAGGGTACATGTGAATCTTTCTAAATGTGGATTACAAATGTCTTAACACAACAACTATGAGAATGACATGAAGGCTATGTTGGCCAACTGGATGAAAATATTTCAAATTGTATATGGAAACAACACACTGTACCCCATGATAGTATTAATGTGCACAAACATGATTTAATAATAAATAAATAAATAATAATAATCAAGAAATGGCTGAAGCATAAGTAAGTGCTTATTTGAGGGTTTTCTGCCATGTGAAACTGAATTTAATACTAACTGCTGACATGGCAAATTTGGAAATGCTGTCCACTGTGCATGGTTTCGTCTGATACCAAAGTAGTTTCTTCTAATACAATGATTTACTGCCTCTGCTTCAAATTGCCCAAAAGGCAAACTGGAATCCCTCTTGACCCGGTCCAGTACCTGCAGCAGTGCCCTGGGTCTTACACAATCACAGGATTGGAGGGAGGTTTGTATATGTTGTCATAGAAAGTTCTGGCATTTGTGTTTTCCAGCACTTGGGAGACACTTGGACAATTCTTGGATGGTTTTGTGGAGTCAGGACACTGATAGTTGAAGAAAAGGGCTATAGGCCACAATTGTCAATGTGAACCTAAAAATCTGAATCTAAAAATACATTGACTGGAAAGTGGCAGCGTTCTTGGGTAGGAAAGGGAGAAACAGAGAATGAAGAAAAATCTGATGGCCTATAATGGAAGGCAGTCACAAGTGAACACAGTGGATTCTAGACTTGCATTGTTATTAAATG